TATATGTAACTAAATTTGGGAAAAAAACTATTAGTTCAAATAAAAACCATTTTTTTAAAAATAATGTAGAATTAATTCTAAAATATTTACATATTACAAATCAGTATTTGATATAAAAATATATAACATATATGTTATGAATTAGAATTTAATAAACTAAAAAATTTGTTAGGTGGTAAGAATATAAACCACTTTTATATCTATACATTTGTAATATTTGTAAATTAGAATGACTTTTTCTTACAATTTTCTTTATAATTTATTATTTCTATTACTTACAATGCTATTATGTCTTTAAAATTTACAATTTTTATAAATTCTATTTATAAAAATAAATACTTTCTAATTTTATATAGCTTTTATTTTTCGTTATGAGATTTAGTTTCTTTAACTAACTTAAATTTTGAAATATATACGATTTTGTAAAAATAAATAGTCTTATTGATTTTAGATTATCAATGGCTGCTAGAGCTTTCTTGCCAAACTGAGGTGATTCTAATATATGAGCTCAATAAATTTTAAATAATATTTTTTTATTTGGCCTTCTAGCAATAGGAAAATATTGTGTTTGGATCTATAAAGAATATGATGTGAATTTTTGAAGTAGGCTTGATATTGTTGATGTGAAAATTTGTAAATAATTACTAGAGCTCTTCTATTGGATTAGAATAATTCTAAATTAAATACTTTATATTTTAAATTTATAAAGTATTTTAAGCTTTTTGAGGCCACTTAGAACATCTCATTTGGGATATCCCTGATTTATGAAGTTCAAAGTATATTGATTAAGTAAATGCTGAAATGATATACAAAAGGTCTTTTGCTTAGGAGTTAGATTTTTCACCTATTCTAGCCAATATTTTAAATAATTTATACATAGAAATCTATAAAAATAAAATAAAAAATTAATTAATTATACAAAATCATATAATAAAAACTTACATCTTTAGAATTTTGAGAAACATCTTATAAGAATCGATTAATGATATTCAAATATCTTAAATACTATTTTTAGTAGTATTCTAAAAACATTAATCTTTTATTCTATAATTCAATCAAACACTTTTAATCCAATTATATTCCAACCAATTAATAGAAATCAAAAGTGATCAGAAAATATTAATATAGAATCACAATTTTAAAAATCAAAATATTTTATATATATATATATATATATATATATATATATATATATGTGTGTAAAATAATGGATAAAATAATGTACAATATAACAATTGCAAAAAGCACAACCACTTGGCAGAAAAGTTTTTAGTATTATTATCAATCAATTGGTGATATATTAAAATTTAAAAATCAATATGCTTTCACCATACGTTTTTATTACATTATCTAATACAACATAATTTATATAAATGACCAAATAATTTCCAAATTATTGATACTAAATATAGTTATACCACTAAAATTTAGAAAGTACTTAAAATAGTCTATTTTAGTAAAAAACATAAATATATGTACATTATTTTATGTTAATTGATCATATTTAAATATCTAAATAATAAGACAAAATTTATCAATGAATTTGTCAAATAGATAGTATTGTCAAAAAAGACCTGACCTTACAATTATGATATGATTATGTAAATATTATAATAATGTGGATTATTTGTTATAATTGATACTAATATTAATTCTTTTTAAATATTATATTTTGGATAATTTACCAAATATTAAGTTATTTGAAGTAGGTATTGTTAGTAAAGAATATACAAACATACCTTAATGCAATATTGGTTATAAAATATATACATTATGCATTTTTAGATGATACTATGCACCCTTTAGATATAGATGGATTTTTTAAGTATTGTATTTTCCAATCAAAGATACAAACTTTTTTTGGTAGAATATTATATAGATGCTTGTGGGAAATATTTCTTTCAGGATATTATGGCAAGAAAATTTGTTTTAGTTATTTATAAAATTTGTATAAAGTTTGTATAAAATTTGTATAAACTTTGTATAAACTTTGTATAAAATTTGTATAAAATTTTTATAAAATAAAAAAACAAAAAACTTTATATAAACTTTATATAAACTTTATCCAAACTTTGTATAAAATTTGTATAAAATTTGTATAAAATTTGTATAAAATTTGTATAAAATTTGTATAAAATTTGTATAAACTTTATACAAATTTATATAACTTTATATAAACTTTATACAAATTTTATATAACTTTGTATAAAATTTATATAAAGTTATATAACTTTGTATAAAATTTGTATAAATTTGTATAAAATTTGTTTAAAATTTATATAAATTTGTATAAAGTTTGTATAAAATTTGTATAAAATTTGTATAAACTTTGTATAAACTTTGTACAAATTTGTATATAAATTTGTATATAAATTTGTATATAAATTTGTATATAAATTTGTATATAAATTTGTATAATAAACTTTGTATAAAATTTGTATAATAAACTTTGTATAAAATTTGTACAATAAACTTTGTATAAAATTTGTATAAATTTGTATAAAATTTGTATAAATTTGTATAAAATTTGTATAAATTTGTATAAAATTTGTATAAAGTTTAATATTACAAATGTACTATAGCAACCAAGTTTAATAGTACATTTGTAGTAGCCACATTTCTTTATAAAATAATGATTTATTAACTGATTATAGTTTGGAGTATCTATTTTCTTAATAAACTAGTTAACCAAATAACTACTAGGTACTATCAACAACTAAATACTATAAGATTAATACGTATCATCTATGTGCAAATGGAAAAATATAAAAAAATAATGATTTATTATAAGAGGTAATTACTAAGACGATCTTTGGATGTTGGATCAAAAACATTTAGACACAATATAAGAATACAAAAACATATCAAGATAACGATTGAGTTTAGTTATTTCTAATTTATCTATGGCCTCAAAGCCATTTTTATTATACATTTTTTATTTTATAAATATCTTTAGTTAATCAATTAAATTATTTAAAGACATTAATTCCTATTCTAAAAACATTAGATATTATAATAACATAGATAAGATTCTTTTTCAATCAATGTGGCAATATAAAATATTAAAAGTCCTATTACAACAATGAATTCTTGTTTAAATTTATTTAATTGGCTAATGGATATTATTTTGTGATAGCCAATTCTTAGTGATTTCTTAAATAATTTTAATGAATATTTATGGTGTAATGAATGTTAAGTCTGGTGGTTGTTTTTACACCTGTAAGATTTTTTTTGGCAAGATTTTATCTGCTAGAATTATATGTTTTTCTTTTTCTTTTCCTTAAAGTTTAATTGTTATTGATTTGGTCAAAATATTTTCTACTTATATATATATATATATATATATATATGAGTGTGTATTAATTCTGTAAATTAAAATTTTGTTTTTCATCTTGTATTCTCTTCTTTAGACTTTTTAAAAAATAATCATGATTTATATTTTAATATTAAGTATAGAACTTTTTAAACCCTGAAATAAAATAAAGTAATCTTAAAATAAATAAATGGCAATAGAATCGAATAACACGTGGATTTCCCGATTACACTTTTAAGAAGCTTAAAAAGTAAAAATCAAAAAACGATCATCAAAAAAGAAATCTACCAATACAAAAAGGTAAGTACTAAATAAAAACAAGCATAGAAGAAGATAATCTAAAGGGTTTCCTTAGCAACTACTATTACAGTTTTAGAGATAAAAATCCATTCAGAATTCTTTTTGTTTTTGTATTGATTATAACATTTTTCAAGTCATTATAAATAGACTACAGAAGAATCATTAAATTATGAAAAAATGTCAAGAATTTGAGATCTAGTCAAGCAAAGTATCATGGCTGAAGAGAAGAAAAAATAAAATAAAAAAACAAAAAATACTAAGAGTCTTGATAATGGACAAGTTCTACTGATATATTAAAATACTTTAATAAAATTAAATAAAATTGGAACTAGGTCTTAAAGATGACGTTCTGTTATTTTTATCCATAACATGTAAGATTTTTTCTAATTTTAAAATAAAATTAAAGATGATGTGTCTAGTAAGACAATCCTTATCTTATCTTATAAGTTTATCAATATATATATATATATATATATATATATGTTCTACAGTTGTCTTAAATTCCTTCTGTTACTTTTAAAGTTTGGTTTTATTTTTATTTTATTTTAAACAAATAAAAATTGGTAACATGAACTAGAAGATATTGAACTTCAAGATCTAGCATTTTCACTAAACTTTAATTGAGTACTACAATTTCTGAATATTGGCATCTCAATAAATCATATAAAAGAAGATATTTACATCATTGGAGGATATTTCTTGGAGGTAGTTGATGTAAGTAGACCAATAAAGAAAAGAAAAAAAGAAAAGAAAAGAAAAACTCAATTTTTGCATATCTAAATGGGAACAAAGCAACTAAATTCACTTGGAACATGAATCCCTACTCACAAAACCAAATGTGGCTTGGGTATAAAACAAAAAAAAAATGATACTATTAATTGTAGTAATAAAAGTTAAAATTTAAAGTTAAAATTATCGTCTTTTCCAAATCCATGGGCACGTCGTTGCAAATTGGAAAGTCTAAAAAAGAAGGGGATTATTGGCTTCGAATGTTCTTAACTCAAGTTGTTGTGAAGCAATGCCTAATTAGTACCCTCGTTCCATCCATACCCGCGCGCCTTTTTAGAGCCCCCGAGCACGAGTGCACACACCCGAGACGCCGTGCCCGTGCCAGTCCCGCTCAAGGAGCACAGGCAAAGGGCTGGGCGTGCGAGCTAGCTGGCTGGATGAACGAACGAACGAGCGAACGATCAGTGTCCCGTGGGACGGGAATGGAAGGGAACTTAGGTCCTCTTCGTTGAGGCTCCGTCCGTTCTCCCTTCGTTCGTTTATTCATCCGTCCGAGCCTACCGAGTCGGAGTTCGTGAACAGTCGAGTGGAGTCGGGTTGAGTCGGGGAAGGGAAGGGAATTTTAAGGGATTCATTTGGTTGGCAGTCGGCGAGCAGGCGGGGAGGGAGGGGGGGAGTATGGACAAATGCGTTCGTCGTCTCTCGGTCATGCCTCGGATCATCTCTCTCTCTCTCTCTCTCTCTCTCGTTCCTTGCTTGCTTGATTGATGCTTCTCACCGTATCGTGTTTAGGTGTGTTGCGAATCGGGGGGAGGATCAAGGTGTGTTCGGAGGAGTTATGTGTTTCGGTGTTTTCTGGACTTTGCCTTAGTCTGCTTCTTACACTTTGTCTCCGCTGTGTGGGAGATTCGACGTCAGGAGCGAGGGGTAGGAAGCACAGTTCGAGGGCTTGAGAAGCGGTTTCGTTTATGAATATGAACGTGGAAGGGAGTAGGGGAGGCGAGGATTGCAGGTGGATAGTTTACGACGTTGCTTTTGAAGGGGGCGTTGGAGTTGCTGCTAAGTGGCAGCAGAGGGCGGGGATTGTAGAGGTCGAGGAGAGAGGTGGTTTTGAGATGTTCGGTTGAGCTTTGGGAGTGTGGTTGGCAGGTGCATTGTTCTAGGAGGAGCTTTGAGATTTTTCTTTTTGCAGAGGAGGGATGCAGAGACGTTCGGACAACTTCTTGTTTGGATCCGAATTTGGAAGATAGGGAAGTTGAGTCAAAACGCTTTCGGGACAGGTTAGAATTTTAAAATTTGATTTCCAGCAGCTGAGGAGAATTTTGAGAAGTGGAGATGAGAGTAAGTGGCATCGAGTTCGATGTAACAAGATATTAAGATGAGCTCAAGCTGGAAAGTTGCTGGTTTGGGGTGTTGGACTTCAGAGAATTGAGTGGACGTCATTTCAAGGGAAAAAATAAAAAACAAAAAACAAAAATGGTTGCCTCAGTGGTCGGCTGACGCAGCTGCGGTTGAATTGGTACAGGTAACTGAGTCAGTTGGAGTTGGCAACAATGGCGGACTTACCGTGTGACGCAGATGGAATGTGCATGGTGTGCAAAATCGTGCCACCTGACTGCGATGTTCTTCTGTGCAGTAGTTGTGTTAGTCCGTGGCACATGCGATGTCTGAATCCTCCTGTAAAGCTTGTGCCTCTTGGCGACTGGGATTGTCCTGACTGTCTACTTCCACCTCCTTCCGACATGCCTTCCATCGTCCAGAAGCCCGTAGCGGTACCCGAGGAGGGCAATTTGGTGAGCAAGATTCATGCAATTCAAGCTGACTCAACCCTCACAGATGGTGAGAAAGCTAAAAGACGGCAGGAACTCATGAGCAAAGGGCTGGTTACTAATTATTCCGCCGAAGCAAGTTCCGCTAATGGCGACAAGAAAAGTGCTGACGGGAATAAGCGCAATGCGACGCTAGAAATGATGGATAACAGTCTTAATTGCATCTTCTGTCTTCAGCTTGCTGAGAGACCAGTGACAGTAAGTTTCGCTTCATGCATTTTTCATTTCGTTTCATCTTACCTATATTCTTTACTTTTCTTCTATTCCCTCCTTTGGCATCTCAGCCACAATCAGTTCATATGACGATGCCTGATTTTGTATCTTTCTTTTCCGCATGCACACATGGACTTTTATCGTAGTAGGAGTTAATGTCACAGATAGCGATCGCCTTTGTTTTTCAGCCTATAAAATAACTGCTGATGCCTTCACGATGCGATGTTTGACTTGGCAAAGAACTGTCAAGGATCACCTTTATCACTACTGTGTACAGCAATTGTAATTTTGTTTCGTATTGTTTCTTGTTGCAGTCTCCTCGGTCGGACATGTCGTTCGACGCTTTTTATATTGAAGCATGCTTGTGGGTCTAGATATACATGATTTTAGAAGTATTCTTCTTTCGAGGACACATGCTAACGTATCTAATGAAGATATTTTTTCTGGGATTGTGGTACTTATGGGACACTGTAAAGGTCGGTTGCAGCCATGTCAGTTTCATATATTGAGCACGTAGTACATAGCCTCACCAGGGCTGTCAATGTTTCTTAAGATATTGCGTAACTTGTGGAAGCTGTAGTTGTAACTATTCGTAATCACACATGAGTGTTTCTGGTTATATCTCTTTAATCAAGTTGACAGCATGACCATTGCCCTATGGGGGTGTCTACTACCATCGGTACGATGTTAACTTCTTGTACGACTTGTTCCTGAGAAATGAGGTGTGACCTGTGATTGCAGACACCATGTGGACACAACTTTTGCTTGAAGTGCTTCCAGAGATGGGTTGGGCAAGGAAAAAAGACGTGTGGAAAATGTCGAGCTGCGATTCCTGCTAAAATGGCAACCAATCCTCGCATTAATTCAGCTTTAGTAATGGCGATTCGTATGGCCAGATCAGTCGTAAATAGTAATAGCGGTCCATCGAAAGTTTACACATACCGTGATAATGACAGCAGACCGGATAAGTGCTTCACCACTAGCCGAGCAGTGAAGACGGGGAAAGCTAATGCCTGTAGTGGCAAAATATTTGTTACTATTGCACCTGATCATTTTGGGCCCATTACAGCTGAATATGATCCTACGCGAGGTCAAGGAGTTCTAGTCGGAGAGTGCTGGGAGGATCGCATGGAATGCAGGCAGTGGGGTGCACATCTACCTCATGTTGCAGGCATTGCAGGGCAGTCTGACTATGGTTCGCAATCTGTAGCACTTTCTGGCGGTTATGAAGATGATGAAGATCATGGCGAGTGGTTTCTGTACACAGGCAGGTGTGGCTTACACTGCCAGTTACTTGGGAGTGTCACTGGAAGTTGAACATAGTACTATTTTTTTTTTATCTGAATCATCATTCTGGCGTGTGTTTTATAATTTTCTGTTTTATTATTGCAGCGGTGGGAGAGATTTGAGTGGGAACAAGCGCACCAACAAAGAGCAATCATTCGATCAGAAGTTTGATAAGATGAACGAAGCTTTGCGAGTTAGTTGCAAGCATGGTTACCCTATTCGTGTTGTGAGGTATGTTCCTTGCATTCAGGATCTATAGCCGTGTCTTCTCAACATCCGCAATTATGTTGAACTGCGCTTCTTTTCGAAGCGGAAATCAGATGTTGAAGTTTTCCGAGGTTGCATGGACGGATTTTAGTCACTTATGTCTGTAGTTAGCATCGCAAGTTGGAGGTGAATGACTTAGAGTTTTTGATCGTTGGTTAACTTTGTTCCTGCTTAATATGCAGGTCACATAAAGAGAAGAGGTCAGCTTATGCTCCAGATGCAGGTGTAAGATATGATGGTGTATATAGGATCGAAATGTGCTGGCGTAAGAAGGGGGTACAGGCAAGAATGGCGTCTAAACGTCGACAAATTTACGGAGTGTAGTGCAATGTTGATGTTTTTCCTGACACGCTCAACTGTGTCCTCAGCTTATTAAAAAAAACTCTGTGCTTATGCAGGGTCACAAGGTCTGTCGTTACCTATTAGTCCGCTGCGACAATGAGCCGGCTCCCTGGACAAGGTACTTGCAGCTACCATTCACTCTGCAGATTTATTGTGCTTTTGTACTCTTCGCAGGTTATCATCAAAGTCATGTTTGTCGTCATTTAACTGATATGTATCTTATGTTTCATGAAATCTCGAGTTACAAAGCATGGGCCTTTTCAAAGTCAGGCTTTTCAACCTTCCGTTTCAACAGATCTTATTGATGTGGCTGAATGTATTGGAATTGTATCGGTCCATTTTTTGTTTTCTCTGTTTCGAATGATCAAATTCGTTCTGAAAGGCTATACGACTAATTTCTGATTTTCTTTGTGATGACAAATTTAATCATGATAGTTCGTACTTACACTGAAGGTTTTTACTTACATTTACCGTCTTTATTTTTTAGTGATGAGCATGGGGACCGTCCAAGACCTCTTCCTGTGGTTAAAGAGCTAAAGTCGGCAACTGATGTATTTGAAAGGAAGTCATCACCTGCCTGGGCCTATACGGTATTCCTCTTACCTAGTAAATAACCTATCTCATGGTGGAGAATCTAAGCCTCATCCAGTTATGATTTTTACTGTTGTTTTCTTTAGCCCATATGGTAGTTATTGTTCTTAATGTAAATCTTGTGACGTCAATATTTGAGAATACTCAGTAGACTATGTATGCAATTTAAATTAGTTTGGTGATGCTTGCTTGGACGCCATAAATGAACTTTGATTTATCAACTTGATTGTGCTTAGCGTGGGCCTTATGTAAGAGTTGTATGCCTATGAAGGAAGGAGTAGGATGGGGATGGTCCCGCGAACCTCCGGCAAGCAGAAAGACTTCAGGAGGTGGGCCGAGCGAGGCAACACAGAAACGGAAACAACTTAGTGTCCAGCAACGGTTACTTAAAGGTGACAGTTTGGTCAGCTTACCGTTTTTTCGGTCCCTGTAGTCTATTATGGAGGTAGAAAGGAGATCGAGTTTTTCTGAACTGTCCATACATTGATTTGAAAAATCTATCGTTCCTGGCCAGGGGACTTGGACTTTACGGTTTGAAGTTGTTTTCCAGCTACTCGTTCCCCGCTCTCTGAACGCAAGAGTTAGTGGGTAGAATCTCATGGGGTTCATTGTATTGGACCTGCAGAGTTCGGTTGCAATGCTTGTCGGAAAGTTCTCGATCAGCCAATTTCCGTGCCCTGTGGACATAATTTCTGCAAGAGCTGCTTGGATTCTGTGTTTTCTAGTCAAGACAGCCGAGAGCGAAAGGGTGTTTCCGGTCGTACTCTTCGAACGCAAAAAGTAGTAAAGCGTTGTCCCAATTGCAAGATAGATATAAGTGAATTCCTCGTGTCTCCTCAGGTACATTCTGTCACGATCTTTCTTACGATATGTATCCACATTTCCCAATGGTATTTGCCTGTATCTACACCTTGGAAGTCGTATGAAGTTTTAGACTGCTTGAAGGAAACTCATTAAGTGTAGTAATCATCTTGATTGAATTTTTTTTCCATCAGATCAATAGGCAGATGGAAGAGGTCATACAGATGCTCCATGATACTGCTAAGGATGAGCAAGGAAGTGATGGTGTTGAGGATGACGAGGGAGATAATGACTCCAGATCAAGTGTGTTAAATCACGATCCCCTAGTTTCACTCTGGCTGTTTCGTAGAAAAGGAAGAACTACACACTTAGGAGCGAAATTTAATATCTTTACGCTTATTGGAACAACTGCATGTGTTTACAGATAATGAATCAACAGAAGCTGAAGCGAAAACAGCCGAACTGGAAAAGTCCGTGCCTGTAGTTGCCGATGGTATGGAAAATGGTCATCCTCAACCTAAGGATGCCACTTCTGACGTGCCTTCAGGTGCTGGAAACACTCCGAAGGTTGATATTGATACACCTCAATACACTATCCTGCCCAATGCCTCTGCAGATCCAGCCTTTCATGCAATCTGCCAAGCCTTTCCTGATTATTCCGAAGATCTACTCCGTAGTATGCTGGTATGTGCTGTTGTTTTTCTGTTATCATCATCATCATCATCATTATGAAGTATCTTTCTCAACAACAAACACGACCAGTTTTTAAAATGTTGCTGTCTTTTAGTACAAAACTGTTTTGCTCGTGTTGGGTCGCAGCTTTTAATTTTGAAGCAGACAGTGTTAGGGACTCATCGAGGTCAAAACTGCTGTACAGGCTGATCAGGATGGTGACATTAAGGATTTGAATTCATTACTTCTTGCGCTAAAGAAACAACAAAAGCAAGTTCAGTCTCGGCAGCGAGGTAGAGCCAAGAAAGGATGCCATTCTGGGAGTGAAGTACTAAATGGAAGTAATCACACTTCGAAAGATCAAATCGAAGATGGAATTGTCAATAGCAACGGTCACAGCAGCAGTGAGCAAATTGAGACTGAAGCGATGAGTTGTAATGCGCTAGGTACTGGAGATCTGACCCAACCAGAGAAGACCATGAAACCTCAAAAGAGACAGCGAGTAGATCAAGGCACCAAGTCAAACGGCCGCAAGAAAAATTGTGCTCCTCTACTTGAGTTGCCACCTAGAGTTACTCGTAGTCGTGTATGTAAGGGAGTTCAGGTTAGCCATGTATTCCTTAGTTCAGACGATGAATGTCAATAGCTTTGGAGTTGATGTAACATTTCTGCGATGTACTATCTAGATTTTTCAACAGTAATTTGATGTCTGCCAAAAGTGGCGCTATTCACTTCATTACGCTTCATCCCGAGTCCCATTTATGGCCTGCCCCAGTGGCGAGTCCCTTCTCCCCGTGGCGTTTTATGGTATTTCAAGTCTAAATGTTTATATGAACAATTGACAGGGTGCAGGTCGTGTTATTCGTCTCTACAAATCAGGAGTGATCTACCTATACTCAGAGTCTTAGGCTTGGTGTTCACTCAACAATGAATGAAGGAAATTCGGCCCCGATAGAGCGATACTTATGGTGTATGTGGACACGGTTAAGGAACATTTTCTCACAAAGTACGCAAATGACTTCACTCTGAAGCAATGAGACCGTTGCAAAATATCACACAACCTTAGGTTGCAGCGGAAGTACAAGCACAAACTGCTATCGTATGATAAAATCCATATCACGATAGACCGAAGTTCCAACTGGGTCTTCCATCTGTTCTAAACTTTATGATAAGATATTTGTGCCTGCTCTTCACACTTGGTTAGAAATGTGCGCCTGTTTCATCGAATAAATGGGTCAAATCTCTAAACCAATTGGTGGATCATGTTGCAATCAGCCACATGCTGATGCATGTATTGATAAAAGATGGAAAGACATCTCTTCCATATTGAAGTGACATTACAACATGGAAGAGATGTGTTCCATCTTTCATTGGGATGCTAATGTAATCATGGTAGTCAAATCTCTAAACCAATTGGGAGAGTTTTATTCTTAATGGATTACTATGTGGATGATATCTATCATTGACAATGAGACATGTCAATATCCCCCTTGAGTTCCCAATCATAAATTCTTAATTGGATCTTGATAGAGTCTTGGTACCAAGGGCACAATAGTTGTGATGAGCAACATAGGCTTTTTGTGATAAGTGATATTTGTTTTACATCTTGTTGTTTCTTGTTTAGTTTTGTGAGTTTGGTATTTTGTTGATTGCTTGTTTTTAGGTTGAAGCTACTTGTCTTTTGCTTTGATTCATTGTGTTGTTATTGAAGCAATTGTGCAAATGGTTTTTAGAATTTTTGGAGCATTGTATGGCATAGAGATCCCTTGGTAAGATTTCAATTTTCTTATCTTGATTTTGATAAGAATGTGTTTGATAAGGTCTTAGATTAATTGGCTTAGGTCTTTAATTGATAATATTGATACATCATGTTCTTCATGCTTGTTGTGTGTGAGCTTTACAAGTCTTTTATCTTTCAATTTCTATGTTTTGTTGATCTTGTTGATTTCACACTATGAACAATAAGAATTGCAAGATGTAACCTCCGCCATTGAGATCTGATAATTGGATATAGAAGTGGACTTAGTTTTGACTGTTGGAACAATAAAGTATTTGAGTTGACAAGATATATGTTCAATTTGTCCTAATTTTTTTAAAACAAGTAAGGTTAATAAGAAGACAAAGATATAGAATTCAAAATTTTATATAGCAAGAAAGGAAACAAAGTCTAAAATATATTATAGTTGAGAAGATTGTGAATATGTAGTAAAAGAATTTTCAAGGGCAAAGTATAAAAGCTTTAAATCATATGAAGGAGCTATTGAATTTCTAGAGGGAGAAAGTGTTAAGTAAAAGTACTATAATAGGTGAAAATGGAATGAGATAATCATGCACTAGTTGTAGAATTCTACTTTTTAGAATAGAATTTGAATGAAAGAATCTATTATCTTTCTGGACATACTTTTGTATGAAGGAAAATTAGTTCATATAGTGCAACTTGCAATGATGGCTATAGTAAATACCTTTGACCAAAGGATGCTAATAAAACTAGTTTTATTCTATATTATTTAATTATTGGTTACCTCATAGATAATTATTGATATCTAGTCTTCATTGATTATTGAATTATCTATGAGTATCAATATGTTGAACTCTTATGTATATAGAGCTTCATGATATGCTACTAAAGTCTCATTGGTATCTTCTTATGCTTTGTTTTTAAATCATACTCTATCTTCTTATAGAAGCAAGTTTTTGAATTCATTGAAGGAGGGTGTATTCTTTCTATCTAAGATCATTTGCTTGAAGATCTCTCAACTAGTAGGAATACTTATGAGTACTCTATTAATTAATTTTTTATTCAATATTATGACTCCAATATTAGTAAGTTGTTCAATGAGGTTGTTGATGTTCCTTAAGTATTCTTCAATGGTCATCTTTTCAATTATTCATATGCTATAGAAGTATGATTTTAAAGATAGCTTGCAATTCATAGAACTTAATTAATATATAATGACTACCAAAATTGAGTATAAAATCACTAATTCTATCATTAATCATTTATATTTTATAATTTATTTTAATAATAGCCAAATCAATTGATAATTCAAGTTCTATTTTAAATAATTGATGTGACTACCAAATTTGTAAGTCCATCAATGTAAAATATATTGAGAAAGATATGGACTAAAATGAATTACCTTTAAAATTTAGTTATGCTCACACTTAAATTACAATGACATGATGCAATCTAAGCTACAAATCTAACATGCACATGTGGTTTTTGAGTACCATTGAGAGCATGGACATGTTTTTAGCCTTCATACATATAATTTTGTCCATCATTAGTACATATTACTTATGCAAACTGACCAAAATGGTTTTATTAATATATCTCTCTAATGCTAATAGGAAGCTAGTAGAAGAGGTAGCTTTATAAATGTTGAAGATGGGTGAAAGTACTAGAAATATTGCTAGAAATTTAAAATTTCTCAAAGTTAGGTTGCACAATTTTATAAGCAAAATTTAATTATTTGAGTAATATGAATCATAATTTTGGTGGTAGGCCAATTATGTACAATGCAACTAAGTAAAGAGCTTGTGTAAGAAAATCACTAGAAGTTACAAGGAAATTTTATATAAAATTAGAAATTACTTGAGAAATGAGCTTCATGTTGGTATGAGTAATAATACTATAAGGACAATGTTATGTGAAGTAATTTTGAAATACAAAGTAAAATAAAAGAAACCAAAGTTTATACTTTATCAAATTAAGGTAACATCAAAATTTTCTAAATTCCATTATCATTGTATTGATAATAATTAGAAATATGTAATATTCTCCAATGTAACAAAAATTAATTACTTTTCCTCCAATAGAGACAATTGATATTAGTTTTATAATAAATAGAATACAAGTATTGAAATAGTATAACAAACAATCAAGTTTGGAGATGAAAGAGTAATAATGCGGGGTTGTATGACTCTAAATGGTCTTAATATAATATGTAGGATTGAAAGAAGAATGGATCTATATATATATATATATATATATAGAGAGAGAGAGAGAGAGAGAGAGAGAGAGATTTTAGATCAAGAATTGATTCATATAATATATGTATACAATTTAAATCCTACTAGTTTGATTTTTTAACAAAATAATGATCTCAAATATACATCCAAGAGTGCATTGTGTCGCAGACATATGCATATAAGCTAATAATTATGTGTATAAATAGGTAAAAGTAAGTAGAAATAAATAAAAGTAAGTTAATTCTATAATATCTTCTATAAAAGCTTCCTAGAAGCTTCATAGATGCTACTTTGATTTTATAGGTGTCTTTAATTGATTTTTTGGATTAGAAACGTCATCAACAAGTTTGCCATGTGCCACACATATTATTAGCTTGAAGACCAAGCTAACTATGTGGTCCACACATAGAAAAACTTTCCTTATAAGTCAAGGCATATGTCCTACAAAGTCAACACATATTGGAGGTCCTACAGAACATCGCTACATAGCCCTTAGTTAGATAGTATATATAGAGACAAGAATGAAACCCTCTTCATTCTTGTCAATTCCTTTCTTGCTTCTACTCTAGTTTCAAGAGACTTAAGTTTTCTTGTCTTTTGGTAATAAGCCTTTTCAGTTTTATATATATATATATATATATACATACTTTTTTATTTCTATTTTATCACTCTTTTTTTGATATAGATTTCATTGGTTTATGTATAATCTTAGAGTTCATGTCCTTGACGGATTGATAGGAATACACTTACAGTATTTGAGCTTTGTCTTGTCTTGATTAAGAGTGGATTATCCCTTTCTCATGATAAAATATAAGCATATTAGAAGTTACAGATTACCCTCTTCTAAATTGATATTGTTCTTAGTATTTTCTTTGTCTTCAAGTCTTTTCTTCTACTTGTCTTGAGTGATATTATATATTTTTTTGAGTGTTATTATGGAAGAGCTTGTTGAAATGAAGAGTGCAATGGCATAAATACAAGAGCAATTGATGGAATTGATGCTTACAATGCATCAATTTAGCTTACCATCACAAAGATCAACAAGAATGGCAGGAAGTTAGGATATAGAGATGATTAGAACTGCTTCAATATCTGTACCAAATCATGTCCCTCTATCCATGGTGGAACATCCTTCAAGTGTTAGAGAACCAAGAGTTGTCCTGCTTGAGAAGTTTCATGGTACAAGATCCAAATTTTGAGGATTTATCAATCAAGTACAACTTATGATTGAACTTCAACTTCAAAGCTATCCAACTCCATGGTCACAAGTTAGATTCATTGATACACTTCTTTTAAGTTTAGCACTATTGAGGTTTTCATCTTTTTTTGAATGATGCGATTCAATATTGGATAATCTGGAGGTATTTTTGGTGGAATTTTAGTCCATGTATGGAAAACATGATGCAACTTGTGTTGCAACTAACAAGATCCATATTTTATAATAAGACAATCGATTTATAACATTATATGCTTTATAATTTTGACAACTTGTAATTAATATCAAGTGAAATGATGTTGCTCTTATTAGCCAATTTTTCTATGGATTATAATATAAAGTAAAGAAATTGATGCTCAACTTATCTAATCCTCAAACATTGAGTCAAGCAATTGACTCTGCTGTGAAATGTGATAATTGACTTTTTGAATTTTGATCTAAAAATCATACAAATGAGCATCAACGTTACTACTATTTGATGGCAACACCAACATCTCCTCAATACATACATTCAAAAATAAAGAATATGCAAATTGATGCAATACATT